CAATGTAACATGAAAACGTACACCAGGATCCCAGCAGTTGTTAATGCAATGTAACATGAAAATGTACGCCAGGATCCCAGCAGATGTAAAACATGTATGGAGGGAAGGAAACACACTATTAACAGTGTGGGATGCTGGGTGACTTTTTTTCTTTATTTTTTAGTTTATTGTGGTTAAAAAAATATACGTAACAAAAAAGTTGTCATTTTAACCATTTTTAAGTGCACTATTCAGTGACGTTAACCGCTTTCACCATGCCGTGCTGCCATCACCACTATGCACTTTGGAAAGTTTTACATCACCCAAATAGAAGCTGTTTGCTTGTAACACCCCAAGAATGTCACTTGGGTGCTCGTGGACGTTTGCTGGGCGAAGGCATGGAATGCCTGCCTGGGGAGGTTCCGTGGGTCCAGTGACACCTCTGAGTGCAGGCCAGCACAGAGTGGGCCCAGTGGGCGAGGGTCCTCCTGGGAGCTGCTGCCCACCGGGCACACAAGTGGGCGTTCCTGCTCTGGGTCGGCTCTGGCCTCAGCACCAGGGCTTCCACCTCAGCTTCCCTCTTGGGTTCCTCTGACCCCCAGGCCCCACCCTTTCACTTCCTCTATTTTGTGGAAGGAAGCACAGAGACGTGGGCCAGCAGGCCACAAAGCATTGAGTCAGTGTGGTCACCAGCTGGGGTGTGGACGGCCTGCGGGCACCTCTCAACAACCCCCATCCCACACCCCATGTCTGACAGCCGTGGCTCCATTTGTCCTTAATCTTGTCTGGGTTTGGGAACTGTGTGCATACATTTTCAGTAAGGGTAGAGCCTGGAGCCCACAGCTGCAGGCCTTCATGCTGTCAGCCCCCAGGAGAGCCAAGGTGTCCTGGAGGGTGCAGGGCCCAGCGGGAAGTGGGTGGGTACCAGTAAGTGCCACCCAGGCCCAAGCACCAAGCTGGGCCCACAGCCAGGCCTCTGCCGCCGGGGACATGTGGTGCCCAGCCCTGTCCACAGAGAGGAGATTGAGGCCCAGGGAGGAGACACTCCCAGTCAGAGGGTTCACCTGACCCGGGGCTCCTCCAGGCCACCCTGCTCGCTCGCAGGAGAGGCAGAGTGAGGCCCAAATCTCCTGAGAAGACCCTCTATGCAGCAGTGGGCCCTACTTCTGGGCCAGCCCAGTCACTGAGGCCGGGGTGGGGGGCGCAGGCCAAGGGATCCGAGAAATAGAGACGTTGTTGCTCAAGAAATAGAAATGTCAACTTTACAATTTTTTGCTTGGGGAAGACTTTCCCCCCACCCCCAGTGTGTGTACTGAACAGTTGAACAGGCCGGGTGAGCAGCTGGGGAGTGTGTTCCAGGCAGGGGTCCGGGGAGGAACATGGTCCAGAAACACCAGAAGGCTGGTGTGGTTGGAGCAGAGTGGACATGGGGGTGATGGGGGGAGAGAAGCCCAGGCCCAGCTTCCAGAGCTGGGACGGGTTAGCTGGGCCGAGGAGGCTGGATTGGACACGGAGGTCCTGGGCCAGTGCAGGGCTGGGCGGCTGACAGGGGAGGAGAATGAGGAGGAGGCAGAGTGAGTGAGCAGGGAGGTGATTTCTTGCCGGTGGTTGTTGAGAGGGGGCTGGGCAGGAGCTGCAGGGTGATCTGGAGGTTTTCGTGAAGATGAGAAATAACAGCACGCTTGTATGCTGACGGGAAGTCCCCCCAGAGAGGCGATGCAGGGGGGTCCAGGCTGGGTGGGGGGACAGGAGGTACTCTGAGCTGTGGGGGTGTTGGCAGCATTGGGGTGCTGCCCCGTTTCCACCTGGGAAAGAGAACGATGAGGGGGCTGGGCCTTGGCTGTTTCCATCAATTCTTCAAAACGCTCAGGGTCTCAGGGAGGGAGCTGGAAGCCCGTGGGGTGTCAGGGGAGGCGCCCTCCCCGGAGCTGTGAGGAGGTGGCAGCAGGGTCTGGGACATTGCTGTTACAGGGTTGTGGGGTTGGGGATGGACTGGAGCCAGAGGTGAGGGGAGTGACGGGGTCAGGACATGACAGTAACGAGGAAAATAGGGGTACGGTCTGTGACGTGAGCTTCAGAGCAGGGGTGGGGGTGGCTTTAGGGCGGGAGGGAGAAGGCCAGCGCAACCAGGGGTGAGGAGGATGCCGGCCCCTCCCCCTGGTCCCACCTGCTGCTGTGCAGGGCCAGATGGACAGCGAGCAGGGTGGAACCTTCTCGGGGCCTTTCCTGGCTGCTCCGCCATCTCTGTCCACACATCCTGCAGGGCTCCACTCTTCAACATGCCGGGTTCGTCCCCAGGGCAGCGCCCCGTGACACCCCCTTTTTCCCAAGGAATCCTATTTCTGGCACCAGGTCCAGCCCAGTCCCTCCCAGCCTGTGGCTCACCCTGGGTGGCCATGCCTGCACTGTGTGTCCGCCTTGGCTGCCCACGTGCATCCGCCTTGCCTGCCCACTGTGTCCGCCTTGCCTGCCCACTGTGTCCGCCTTGGCTGCCCACGTGCATCCGCCTTGCCTGCCCACTGTGTCCGCCTTGCCTGCCCACATGCGTCTGCCTTGGCTGCCCACGTGCATCCACCTTGCCTGCCCACTGTGTCCGCCTTGCCTGCCCATGTGCATCCGCCTTGCCTGCCCATGCTGAAACCCCTTCCAAGCCCTTCCCTCATCTACTGCACCCATCCAGCAGCCCCCTCTCCTACCAGACAGCCTCCCCGCGTCTCTGACCCCACTCGACCATGCTGATGGTGTTGACCCTGCTGGCGGCCCGCGTCCAGTCCTGACGGATGTGCCGTGTGACGAGGACAAGAGACCGCCCCCTCCGTGCCTCTGTGACCTCTGCTGTGGGTGAGGGTAGGGGGACGGTGGGGCCACACCACCAGCTGGGCCTCGTGTGAGGCTGTGATGCTGACTGCCCCTGCCACCGCCAAGGGGCACCGTGTGGTTTGTGGTGCGGGCCGGGGAGCCGGGGATCTCGTCTTTCACAGTCACATTCGGGGACCCCTTCCTGCATTGTTTCCAACCCAGCAGTTTGTACACGGGCCTTGTTTTCCCCCACCCCAGCCCTGTTCCCCTGCTCTTGTCCTCGCTGACTCCCAGGCTCCGGCCGGTGATACTTCTTCCTGAAGTCGGGGAGCAGGGATTGGGTCAGTAGTCCCATGTCTTCTCTTGTGGGCAAAGCCTTGGTCCCTGGGGCCCCTGGAACCGGCCTTTGCACAGGCTGCCCAGGGCCGGCCCCTCCCACAGGAGGGGGGCACCCACCCAGCCCTGCTTGGACTCTGGCTACGGCCTGGGGGCCCAGCAGAGGCAGGCGGACACACAGGCAGGGGACGTGGGCCAGCCCCCGTGGAGTGCCACTGGCCACGGTGAACTGGCTTAGTGTCTATGTTAACCATGAGTGGCAGTGGTGACAGACAGGCTGCAGCTGGCAGTCAGAGGCCAGCGCTCTGTCATTACCACATCTGCCATTATAGCCTTGCCTGCAGCTGGCCATGGGGCTTCCCACCGGCGTGCAGGGCTCGCCGCGCGTGTGCCTGTCATACTGGAGGTGCAGGGATCCTCTAGGCACTGAGCCTCTTCTGGCTGGACCATCCCATGGGGCCGGCACCCCGAAGTCCTGAAGGAGCAACCCCGGAATCAAGGCTCCTGTTCCCTCGGCACCTGCCCTGCTGGATGGACTTGGTCACACCTTGCTGTAGAGGTGGGGGCCTCCGGTGGGGGCTGCCGAGGTGGGAGGGGCGCTGGAGTGAGGACCAGCCTGCTCCTGTCCTGGCCTGGAACCAGCAGCCCCTCTGTAGCCACTTGAAGTGGGGTGGGCCATGGAGGAGAACACAAGGACAGGGGCCACGGAGGGTGTGGGCACCAGAGCTGAGTAGCTGCACGGCCAGCCTGAGGGCTCCCTGTGCGGGTGGCAGGAGGAGGTGGGAGATGGAGGAGGTGAGGCCTTTCTCCACCCCCGGGCCAGTACCTGCCTCTCTGGCCTACAGAAGCACCTGTAGCTGGTGGGATGTGCAGGTGGGAGGCCTTGTCCCTGACTGGGACACTCAAGGGTGGCATTAAGGAGTGCTGGTGGCACAATGGTTAAGTGCTTGACTACTAACAGAAAGGTTGGCGGTTCAGGCCCACCCGTTACCAGTTGGTCCATGGGAGAAAGACCCGGCAATCAGCTCCCATAAAGATAACAACTCAGGAAACCCCACAGGGCAGTTCTACTCTGTTATACAGGGTCGCTATGAGTCACACTTGACTCGATGGCACACAATAACAACAGCAACAGTGTGGCACTGTCCCCAGGGCTCCCCCACGGGGCTGCCAGAGCTGCCCTCTGGGCAAGGCTGGGACTGTGATGGCTGGTCTGCTGTCCTGAGTGATACACTGGGCCCCAGGTCCTTGTTCCAAGACCTTCCCAGCCCTGAGGTGGGGCTCCTACCTCCAGCTGCGGAGCAGCCCCCTGCAGTGGCCGACACTGGCCTGTGACCTCGACATTGCCACCTTCCAGGGCAAGTGGCTTTCTTCCAGGCTCGAGTTTCCCAGGAGCAGACTGAGATCCGAGCCGAGAGCAGATGAGGGCCCCAGGGCTGGGAGGCCTGGCCAGCGGCCCCTGAGTCCCAGATAAGGGTCCCGTTACACCAGGACAGCACGAGACATGGCTGTGCCATCCTCGCTGCTCCAGGCCTAGCATAGTTTTCAGGGCAGGGGACACGATTCCCGAGGAGCGCCGCTCTGCAAGGCTTCTCCTAGTTTCCTAAGATGCCAGTGGGCACAGGTGGAGACAGAGGTGCTCTGGGAGGTGGCTCTTCTGATCTATTGGTAGCTGAAGATGGCACGACATGGGGACATGTCCATAAGTCACAGTGCCAGAGTTACTGTTCATAAAAGTCGGGTCTGCCACATTCAGGGTGCTGGGAACATCTCCCGGGACAGAGGGGGTGACGTCCCTGGGGGTTCCAGGGAAAACCCTGTCACCACACTGTGACTGAGCGTGCAATCGAGATGTCTGGGGCATCTAGGCACCGTGGCCCAGTCCGCTCCTCCTTTAGGAAGGAGAAGGGCTAGTGGGAATGGATTAGAGAGTCAGCAGCGAGCCGGCAGGAATCACAGCTCGGCCGCCTGGCGGGCCCAGGGCACTTCCAGCCTACCTGCAGGACGAGGGACTCCGCCTCCAGGAACTGCTCGGGACTGTCCTTCTCAGGTCTGAACTTGCTGAGCTGCTCAATCACGGCTTTGATGCATTTTCTGTAGTAGGCCATCTTATGGGCGTGCCAGCTGGCGGGCCCTACGAGGTCACAAGGTTACAACGTTACAAGGTCACGGCCTCCACTGCGGAGTGCTCCTGCTAGGTCTCACCCGCTGGGCTGCCGCTGCTGGGACCTTCACCAACACGGCTGGAGGTCCACCAGGGTGGAGACACGGGCCCAGTGGGGTGCGGAACATGGGATGAGAGGGGACCCCAGCTCGGCGACCCCAGCCTACCTCCCTGACCCAGGACCCCCACTGTGCACAATGCCTTCCAGCTGCTCCCAGGACCCCAGGTCCCACCTCTGTGCTGCAGGTGGGAATGACTCACCTGCGGGGGGGCCAGGCCTGAGGGTGGGGACACCTGGCAGGCAGGTCTTGCAGAAGGCCTCTATGCCCTCACCCCTGCCCAGCCCGGGTAAGGGGCCGGCTTGCTCAGCAGCCCTACTCTCGAGGAGTGCATCAAAACGCTGGGGCAAGAAGTAGCCCTGGGAGTCACCAGGTTCAACACCCCCATTTGAAAGAAGAGGGGACCCGGACCCAGAGAGGAAGCAGAGCTGGTAATTTGCCAGGGATTGAACATTCCAGAACTGCACCAGGATGCACATCTGGGCCTCTGCACCACCCCTAACTGGGGGCTGTCTTGTCTGCCAGGCTTCCCTCTAGGGGCCCTACCCTGGCTACAGCAGAGCCAGCAGGAGGTGCTCTTTAATGAGGCCAGTAGAAAGGCCTCTGGGAATTTGGAAATCTGCTGAATGTGGCCTGAAGCCCTGGTGCTGAGCACAGGCCCTGGAGGCCATTCCCAGGGAGTTGATGGACTCAGAAGCTGCGCTCTGTCGACAGCTAGCAAACTGGACGAGGCAATGGCTGAGCACTGTGAGGGGGAGGTGGTGGTTCGGCAGCAGAATTCTCGCCTTACACGTGAGAGACTCGGGCTGGATTCCCCGCCAATGTACCTCATGTGCTGCCACCACCCATCTGTCAGTGGAGGCTTGTGCGTTGCTATGATGCTGAACAGACTTCAGCAGAGCTTCCAGGTTAAGACAGACTAGGAAGAAAGGCCTGGAGATCTGCTTCTGAAAATGAGCCAGCGAGAACCCTATGGATCACAATGGTCCAATCTGCAACTGATCATGGGGATGGCACAGGACCAGGCTGTGTTTCCTTCTGCTGTGCATGGAGTTGCCCTGAGTCGGGAGCCGACTGGACAGCAGCTAACAACAATGAAGGAGGATAATGGTTGCCCAGGAGTTCATGGTTCTGTAAAAATTCTTGCCCCAAAGACTGTGTGATCCATTTTATTTTGGTACTTCGTCAAGTTAGCTGCTGGCCCAAGATGCCATCACTGCCCCTGGAGAACGGCCAAGCAGAGTGGTCTCAGGCTTGCAACAGTGACAGAGCCCTGGCCACCCTCTCGTGTGTCTGAGACCAGCAGGCACCTTGCTTTGGGTCAGTGCGTTAGGACCGTGCAGGGTTAGAGGGAGATGGGCCACTCGCCGTGGCTCAGATGGCACCAGATTCAAACCCATCGGATCCGAGACCAAGCCATAGCCGTCTGAGTCCAAGAACTCGATGCTGAGATGTGCGCTCTGGAGTCAGGGCTGGCTTTGAGCGCAAGAAGTAAAGCTGTTGGGGTGGGGGGCCTCCCTGCACCCTTGGCTAACTCTGCCGCCCTCCACAGCTGGCCTCTTGGGGACCTTCCACCGGGCACTGCAACGGGCTCCCCCAGCCCACCTGCCCCTGAGGGTCGTTCACTGCCATCACCTCCAGCTGGGTCTTCTTGTCAGTTCAGAGCTCAGTTCAGAGTGGGGCCTTTGTCTTACAGGTTGACACTGACCCTGTTGCTGTTCTGGCCACTCCCTGAAGGCCTGCTCTCTCCCTGGGGGGCCCTGGCAGGGCAGGGTCAACAAGGGGCCTGCTGGGGACACAGCACAGCCAGAGGGGCAGGAACGAGGGTGCTGGGACAGGAGGCCCTTTTCTGGGGCACCGTTTAGTGTGGAAGGGGGACTCGCGGCTTCCCCTCCAGGTGGTTTCTCTGCGGCCACAGAAAATGGGGTGAACCCGGTGGTTCATCAACCCTGATTCCTGTCTTCACCCAGGGGGTCACCACATTGAGGCATTTTTTAAAACTCCACAGTGTAACGTGGAAGGAGCCCTGGCGGTGCAGTGGTTAAGTGCTTGGCTGCTGACTGAAAGGTGGGCAGTTTGAACCCACCAGCGGCTGAATTGACTTGATGGCAACGGGTTTGATTTTAGTGTGATACGGACTTTGGGAGTGTGCAGTGATCAGAAGGATGGGTGCTCCTTTAGCCACCCGGGGCGAGGCGGGCAGAGCTGGGGGGCGGCCCAGGCTGCGCTCTAACGTCCTCCCCGATGGCCGCCCTCTTGGGCTCAGCCATTTCTGCCATGGAGAAGCGCTCACATCAACACAAGTAAGAAAGGAAAGTAACATCCACACATCAGCTTCTGGGGTGCACAAATGAGAGAATAAAACCAAAAACCAAGCCCAGTGCTGTCAAGTCGATCCCAATTCATAGTGACCCTCTGGGACAGAGTAGAACTGCCCTGCAGGGTTTCCAAGGCTGTAAATCTTTACAGAAGCAGACTGCCACATCTTTCTCCTGCGGTGAGAGAACAGCTAGACAAAAGTCTATTTTTTTATGGAAGCAATGTTAAGGAGCGAGTTCCTTGCCCCACATGTGGAGGTCATGTTGGGGTGGGGACTGCCCCTGGGTGGGACCAGTCCTTGTTCCCAGCCTTCCTGCGGCTGCTCTGGACACAGCTGTGCCCGGAGGAACAGGGTGGTCTCCTGCCCCTGATGAGCAGGTTCCCTGCCCTCCTTCTGTCCTGGAGCCTGGAAAATTCTGAAGAAATGACAATCCAAGGGGCCCTTCCATGATCCAAATCAAGAAGGAGCAAGGAACAACCACCCTAAGCCCTCTCCTAGCCCAGAGTGGCCTGGGATGGAAAGAACTAGAAGGAATGCATGGGTAAGCCAAGGACAAGTCACAGCGGCCGAGTCAAAGACGGGGAGGGGTTGTGTGGAGAGCATGTAGCACGCAGGGAGAAGAGAGAGGGGCCCCTGCGGGGGCTTGAACCACGCAGCTCCAGTTCACTGTGGGGCCTGGGGGCTCCTTGGTTTGAAGGCATTTGTCCAGTAGGCTCTGCATCCCGCACCTGGCACAGAGCAGGTGCACCTCAAAGGTGGGCACCAGGAGGAGAGATCTTGGGTGCTGAGCTCCCACTGACATTGGCCCGTGAACTTAGTCAAAGCAATCACATCTTTGGGAAGGAAATAGGTAGTAAGGCTCATCCAATTTGGATTTATGCTTTTAACACTTTAGCTTTATTTTAATGGTGAAAAACCATATACATGGGACCAAAAAAATAAAAGAATAAACCAAACCCATTGCTGTCTAGTTGCTTCCGACCCATGGAGACCCCATGTGTCACAGAGTAGAGCTGCTCTGCAGGGTCTTCTTGGCTGTAATCTTTATGGAAAACCCAACTCTGTGACACATGGGGTCTCCCCGAGTCGGAATCAACTAGATAGCAACGGGTTTGGTTTTTTCTAAATATTAACAGAAGTAGATCGCCAGGCTTTTCTTCTGCTGCATGGTGGGTGGGTTTGAACTGCCAGCCTTTAGGTTAGTAGTTGACCACAAACCATTTGTGCCATCCAGAAGTGGGATTTAATTCCCAACCATGTTGATTTTCTTTTTTTTTCATGTTGATTTTAACTCCACTAATCTGAGCTTGAAGCCCTGATAGTATAGTGGTTAAGAGCTCGGCTGCTAAACAAAAGGTCAGCAGTTTGGATCCACCAGCTGATCCTTGGAAACCCTATGGGGCAGTTTGACTCCGTCCTACAGGGTCGCTATGACTCGGAATCTACCCGACAGCAATGGGTTTTGGGTTTAATCTGGGCTTGGTGATCTCGTATTCAAGGCAATGTTAAAGATGGGCTGAACGAAAGCTTCTCTTTTCTTAGCAAATCCTTTCTAGACAGCAGTGAGATAACATGAGGAGGCTTAAATTCTATCAGGGACAGACAAGTACAACACTCTCAACCACTTGAGAGGCTCCGTTTACAGAAGATCCCAAATGTGTGTTAATTAAAATATGTTCTTTTCCCCTGATTAGAGCTCGTCTCCTGAGAATCTCTGCCAAGTCATGCTCCGATGGCTTGGGCTCAAAGCACAGCCCCAAGTGGCAGATTCTGCTGGATGCTTTTCAATCTCCCTCTCCCTTTCCTCCGGAGTAACGAAACCCCGATTTTTAGCTGGGCTTACTGCTGTCCAAATGGAAGGTGACGTTTCTCAGGGTGTTAGGACACCCTCCCTGGCATCTGGGTATGGTCACGTGGCCGAGCTGTTCCATCACCAAGAAGTGGAAAGGTGTGAGACTCTTAGAAAATCTCCCTCTTCTCTTTTCCATCCTGCTGCCTGGACTCAGGAGGGAATGGCAGGAACTTGGGCAGCCATCCTGGGCTTTGAGGAAGCATGTTAAGGTTGGCAGAAGAGCAAGCTAGAACAGTCTGATAACCTTGGGGCTACCCTATCCTCCTGGGATTGCCTCCCTGTGGATCTCTTTTCGGGGACATAAATAATTTCTTATTTGGGTCACTATGATGTTGGGGTTTTCTGTTACATGCCGCTGAACCTAATCCTAACTGACACACCCACTTCAGGATGACAGAGGCACAGGAAGGGAGCCTCTGAGCAGCTACAACAGCCCCAGGCCTTGGAGTTGGTCAAGGACAGACCCAGAGCAGTCATTCAGTCATCCGCCAAGTCCACCGAGTGCCTCCTCTGAGTTCTCTGCTGAGGACAGGTGGCTGGGGATGGAGCAGGTTTTATGGGAAAGACTCAGAGGGCAGTTTAGACATGTTGAGTGTGAGGGGACTGTTAGACATCCAAGAGGTGATGAACGGGTAAACAGGGCTGGAGTTCTAGTGTGAGGTTCAGGCTGGAGATGGAAATTTTGTAAAGGTTGGGGAGAAAATGGTTGTTTA